GAGGACCGCGAAGCCGACGAGGACCTGCTGGAGGCCATGGACGACTACGAGCCGCAGGGCTACACCGGGCGCCCATCCACGAGCCGGTGACCCTTCACGCCCGCGAGCTCGTGGGCGAGGAGATCGTGGACGTCTGAGTAGACTTCGAGAGCACCGACCAGATGACCCGCATGACCGATGTTTGAAGGATTCACCCACAATCACCTGGTGATGGTTTTGGTCGGCGCGTCCTGGACGTGTTGATGAACAGCTGAAGCTTTGGCGATGAGCTGGGCTTATCGAAGGCGGCTCCAGCGCTTCCAAAAAGCTCTTCACATTCGCTTCACAGACGAGTGCATCTGCTGACTGATCGATGACAGCAAGGGCCCTGTGCCGAACCACGAGCTTCGAGCGCTTCGGATCACGGCAGCGAGAGGACTCCGGGTTCGCGATGGAGCAGGCGCTGCTTCGACCCTGTGTTCGGGGGTGGGCCCCAGACCTTCGACGAAGGGGGGGCTTAAGGGGGGCTTCAAGGGGGGCTTAAGGGTCTCCCCTTTATGGGGGCTTAAGGGGGGGGGCGTGAAGGGAAGGGGGTGGGACGGGGGGGGGGATGAAGGGTCGAAGGCTTGAAGGGGGGCTTGAAGGGGGGGCTTAAGGGAGGCTTGAAGGGGGGGCTTAAGGCTTGAAGGGAGGCTTCAAGGGGGGCTTCATGGGGCTTCAAGAAGGGCTTCAAAAAGGGTTTGAAGGAGGGCTCGCAGACTACGTTTGCAAACGGAGGGGGCTGCGCACCCCCCAAACCCCCCCGCAATACTGCTTTTCAAGGAGAAAGCCACATGAAAGCGCTTCAGAAGGTTAAAAGCAATGAGCACAAATTAAACTGAGCCACACGCAAAAGACAAGAAGAATAAAACGTTTGCAACATATACAACAAGGCGAAAGCCACACGAAATCGCTTTCCTTGCGACTTGGTGGCATTTTGCGACTCCCCAATACTGGAATGGCATTTGGAGCCAGTCTGGGCCAGCTCCAACAAGGCCACGACTCCCCAATCTGACGGTGTTTGAAGCTAGAAAAGTCGGCTTCAATAAGGCTTCAAATACGATTCCCCAACACTGGGACAGATATGAAGCCGAGACTCGGGATTTTAAAATTCTAAATGAATGGTAACCATGAGAAATCGTGCTGGGTCAGCCACTGGCCACGCGATGCAGCCGGCAGATTTTAGTCCGCGGCCTGCTCCAAGTCACCACTTTCCGACGCCGGATGATTTCGAGCTGGGAAATACACAAAAACATCCCAAGCATGGACGGATGCACTCGTGGCATCCTATTACCAGCCGCGCAGCTTGAACATTGTTAGAGCCAATCAGTGTGCTTGCAACAGCTGGCTCGCTGGGAGCACAAGTCGTTCCTGCACAGAA